AATAAAAAAAAATCAAAAAAAGCAGAAGAAAAAAAAAGTCATAGCTGAGTAAGAGTATCGCTACACCTCGCCAAGCGTTAAATTGTTTATAACATTCTTTAATAGCAAAGATGATAGATAACCTTACCTACGCATTCGCAGCATATTGACCAAATACATTGAAACGCGTAATTAAAATTTTGTCGCCTCGATCCTTGTAACAGACCATCACAATTTTGGCTGAAGGTTTCTTCATTGAATCATCACATCGTGTCGTTCCTTTTCGAGACTTTATTTCTAAAGCAAAAAAGAAAGCAAAAAGAAAACACACAGAACTGTCTCCCCTGACGGAAATCGGCTTCAGTTTCTTGTTTCGAAACAGTGTATTTCCACTAATTTCAGCCAATTCGAGTAACTTCGGTTTCAACAATGACTGTACTGTTACTATAGATGCTTTACCACTTTTGTTTTTCGTCAATTCGAAATCTACAGTATCGATCTATTGAAATCGTGATTTTTTAACTCGCGCGAATTACAGGAACATTTACAAAACTTTCAAGCGAGTTTTTAAACAAATAAAAATTCATTGACAAATTTCGGATGTCAAATAAAAATTGTTGAACGTATGTTAAAAAACTTATTCGCATGTTGGATACAGAAAATGTTTACGTTAATAATAAATGATATCGAATGAAGTACTATAAGTAATATAAAGACGAATATCTTAGTTTATTAATAAAATACAGGATAAGGAAATTTTAAAATGATTAAAAAAAAAGAGAAACTTTATTACCATCTTTCTTACTTGAAATATGAAAAGTATTTTAATCTTTTGTCATATTACTCGCATAGTTTCTTTTATAGTTATATTCTAGTATATAGTATGTTATTTTATATTTGATAAAGATTTAAAATAGATTAAAGAATTTTAACTTTAGCAATAAAATATGTCATTTGATTCCAGATCTTATTTGTCTTAATTTTTTAATGGAAATTTTCGAATCTCGAATTTATATCTGAAATTAATTTTAGCAAACATTATTGACATGAGAGTCATTGTTGGCAAGATGGCAGCCTCCTTAACTCGTAAAATTGAAGTAGGTGTAGTCGCGAAAGAAAATAAAAATAGTTATTGAATCATTACTGGAAATAAAAATTCTTATAATTAAATGTATTTACATCAAATGCGAATGCTGTATATTTAAAGGATTAAAATAATAGGAAAGTTTGTACAATACGGTGGTAAGTCTGACAAAATAATTCTTTATTGAAAATTCATTTTTTTTACTTTTTCTAATTTCTATAATCCGATAAATAAATTCACTAAATGTCAGTTGAATATCTTAAACAATTATTTTTCTGTTACTAGTGTCTTCTGTACCTGGAAATTAAGATATATTATGAACTCGTCCTCTGTACCATTTAAGTGCCCAACCTACTAAAAGTAGTATGTTTATTTTATAGCCAAAAATGGTAAAGTTATACGCATTGTCTGTTTTACATAAAAAGCCTACATCAGCGACAACCTTAAAGGCTGCTTATGATGTTGAATCATTCTCGTTTTTTCAAAAAGGAAGCGTTAAAGAATTCATGAGTTTTGTAAGTAAAACCATTGTGGAAAGGACTCAGATCAGCTCTAGGCAAAGTGTCAAAGAAGGAGGTAACATTTATGAAAACTTAATATTCATTTATATTCAAATATACAAGGATTAATTTTCTATGACAAATATTACATTAATAATAATGTAAAAGGAACTTTTCCTATATGTTTATTTTTCTAGACTATATGTGTCACGTTTATGTGAGGGCAGACAATTTGGCTGCAGTTCTTATATCAGACCATGAATATCCTAGAAGAGTAGCTCATACATTGATTACAAAAGTTATGGATGAATTTGCTACCAAATATCCAAACTCGACATGGGACAGTTTAAACGAAAGCTTAACTGATTTTTCACAACTTAACATATATCTAGCAAAGTATCAAAATCCTAATGAAGCAGATGCTCTTACTAAGATGCAAAATGATTTAGATGAAACAAAAATTATTTTAGTAAGTACGCATGTCAGAAATAACACCCAAGAAACTATTTTTATTATTTTAATGTATTTTATTCAATTTGCAGCACAATACATTAGAAGCCGTTCTTCAACGGGGAGAGAAATTGGATGATCTGGTTTCAAAATCGGAAGGGCTTAGTGTTCAGTCAAAAGCGTTCTACAAAACTGCACGAAAAACTAATTCCTGTTGCAGTTTGGCTCCTTGAAAGCTTTTATTAACAAATTATGCTGACTGTAAATCGGCAAATATATTTGTCATTCTCTAATGACGGTGCAAAGTGCAAATAATTAGTATTATACATGTTTTCTTGAAGGAAATAATTGAAAGATGTTCTGGTTCTGTCATACACAAAATTGAATATTAAATGTACAGATTGTTTATATGTAGAATGTATGGTGACACTCGAATGTCAAACCACTGCCGGTTTCATTCAGTTAATTTTAAAGAAATTACGTATAGCTATTATTTTTAAAAACCGATTTGATTTGTATCACTTTTCTGTAGGAATGTATGATCTGGACGTAAACGACGAGATAAATGATTTACAGGTATAAATATACATTCCAATTTTATTTTATTAAATTTAAACGAAACTTCTAAAAGAAAGGTACAAATAAAATTGAGAAGCTTTGTTGAAGAGAATAAGTACACGTTGTAAGTTCAATACTCAAATTTTTTTATCTATTAAAATAAGATGCGTTCATGCAAATTTATAAATTCATTTTATTTTAATTTGTAAAATAACAGACAAT